CACTAGCCTTCCAACACTAAAGTACGGCCTATTTTGAAAATATCAGCCTTGAGAAAACTCTTGCATGTTTTTGACGCCAGCTCCCCAACTATAAGTTCAAGGAAATATTGAGAAAGATCGAGAAATCTTGAAAAGATCTCAGGAAGCAGTATTCAGAACATCCAAGGAAGTAGAAGAAAATTTAAAAGATGTCCGACAAAGTACCTCACCTGTTTCAAGAAATACCCAGAAATGTCAAGTGTTAAAGTTGTAGGTTATATCAGAAACTTTGCAATGAAGTTAGTTACAAGTATACAGGGTGTGTCACAAAAGTGTGGCGAAGCAAAGTTATACTTTTTTAAATGGAACACCCCATATATTATTGACCTATTGAATTAGCCTTTCAAACTTGATTCCAAATATACTAGTTTTTTTAGGTTTACTCCTCATAGTCCAGCCTCTGAATATCCCATTTTGAAGAAATAATGGATGGATTTTTTATTTGAATGGTTAAGTACAGGGTTATTGGTTATAAATGTCACCCCTTCTATCTTTTTTATTTGACATTTCAGAAAAAAGTGTCCCAAATAAAAGTTTTCTGGTTGAAATTAAATTTTTTGAAAAACTCACTTTTGCATATACAGGGTGTTTCAGAAAAGCTGGTCGTGCTCCAAATTTCTTATTTCAAATAGAATACCCTGTATATTATTGAATATTCAGATTCTACGTAAAATTCTGAGCAGATTTCATATGACATACCCTATACCTAAGTTCAACTGTTTTGGAAATATTGACAGTTGAAAATTGACTTTTTTGCAATTTCGACAGGCTGTAAATCTTAAACGGTTAATTTTAGAGCAAAATCGATCTTACATTTTTATCTTAGATATTTTAAAAGTATCAGTTGACAGCAATATTTGACATCAACTTTGAATTTGATCCATGATTGAAAATTCAAATTAAATTTAATCTTCGATTAATATCAAAGTTGGTGTCAAATGATAGCTTGTGAAAATCTAAGATTGGTTTTGCTCAAAAGTTAATCGTTTAGGTTTTACAGCCTGTCAAATATACAAAAAAGTCAATTTTCAACTGTCAATATTTCCAAAACAGTTGAACTTAAGTATAGGGTATATCACATGAAATCTGTTCAGAATTTGATGTAGAATCCGCATATTGAATAATATACAGGGTATTCAATTTAAAATGAGAAAGTTGGAGCACGACCAGCTTTTTTGGAACACCCTGTATATGCAAAAGTGAGTTTTTCAAAATATTTAATTTCAACCATAAACTTTTTATTTGGGACATTTTTTTCTAAAATTTCAAATAAAAAAAATAGAGGGGGGTGACATTTATAACCAATAACCCTGTACCTACCTTTATATTTTGCTGGTGGTCTCTATACTTCACCTTTTTCAATAAAAATCGAATTATTCCATCCCTTTTTTTCTTATTTTCTCCCGGACTATTAGAAATAACAGTAAAAAACCTAGTATATTTGGAATCAGGTTTGAAAGGCTGATTCAATGTGTCTATAATATATTGGGTATTCTATTTAAAAAAGTAAAGCTTTGCTTCGCCACACTTTTGTGATACACCCTGTATACTTCATCAAAAACTTTCTGATATTACTTAAAACTTCCATATTTGAAATTTTTGGGTATCTCTTCAAACAAGTGAGATAGGTGTGGTTGCAAAATATAGACAATCACCTGGTATAGTGAAAATCCATCAAATAATAGAGAGGAAGCTTCCAGGCAAAATTTTGAAGACAGATTATTCAAGTCTGAGTAAGTTGGGAAAAGCTCAGAGAAATCCCAGAAAATACCTAGAATATATTAAAGAAATCCAAGGAAGTTAGAGAAATTTCAAAGGAAATCGAGCTCAGTAGATATTTATAACAAAGAAAACTAGGTATTCAAATTAGGTAGGTAATTCGAGGAAATTTTGAGGAAGTACGAGCAATATTGGAGAGATCTTAGGAAGTATATGGAGTAGTATTCAGAACATACAAGAAAGTAGAAAAAAATTTAAAAGATGTCCGAGGAAGTACAGTAAAAATGTATCAAATAATAGGGAAAGGAGGTAGATTATCCAAGTCTGAGGAAGTTGGGAAAAAGCTCAGAGAAATCTTAAGAAGTACCCAAAATATAATAAAGAAATCCAAGGAAGTTAAAGAAATTTCAAAGGAAATGCAGCTCATAGTAGATGTTTTTAACAAAGGAAACTTCTATGCAAAATTTAGAAGATGTTTTTCTGTAAAAGTTCAAATTAGGGTAATTTGAAGAAATCTTGAAAAAGCACGTGGAATCTTATAGAGATCTAAGGAAATATGGAGTAGTATCCAGAATATCCCAGGAAGTGAAAAAAATTTAAAAGAAGGCTGAGGAAGTATAGTGAAAATTCAGTTGAGGAAATTTTAAAGGAAATTGAGGAAAGCTCAGAAAGTGTGGTAAAGACTAATTGAGCCGGCAACGTCGTTCGAGAGTCGGGATAGCAGCCCTCAGCGCAGTTGATATCAGGTAAGCGTACCACAGGCTGTTAGATGATGACAATGGTTATTTTTTTCGTGTGGCGGCCTGCAAAACGCGAAACCCAGCCAGGTGTTTGTGTTTCGAGTGAATGCGACGGGATGATAGTTTCGATGTTGCCAGATCCACTACAACATCGGTAGTATGTGTGATTTTTTTTTTTTAAAGAAAGTAGACTTTTTGGATTGTTTTGTTGATTTTGTCTTCTCTTCGCATTTTTCAATCATGGCTAGTGAACACGAAAATGCCATTAGATTGAGTGCGGACGAATTTAATCAGCAACAAGACTTAATAAATCAGTTAAGATTGCAGCAGCAGCCATTACTATATGCAGGAAACACAGTTTCGGCACCGGCTCCTGAATGACTACAAATCCCTAGTCGAACTTCTAGGAAGCAAACAATCAGCTAAAATCCAAATATTCCGAATGAGGTTGGTGCGAATTTCGTATAATGTACTACAGTATATTCCTGGCAGAAACATGATATTGCCTGATGTAGGTATTATCCAGAGCTCCACTAAAATCCAGTAATCATGGAGCAGATATTTTATTCGTCAACGAACTCATAGAAAAAGTGGAAGATTTTGCAAATCATATTCGGGAATCAATGCCTATCAAGGACATGCACATAAAAAGTATCTTGGAATGTCTAAACCAAAAAAATAATAACTTATTTGGCCACACATTAAGGATTTACCAACCGAAGATGAAATTTTCTACCAAAATCAAGGAGAGATGGTTATATTGAATAGCTTGGCAACCCGCAACAACAGAGTATTCATCTCGACGACATTACGCAAGGAAATATTGGACATAATACACGAGGGTCATTTGGGCATGACGAAATGTTTAAGCCTAGCCAATGAAATGGTGTGGTGGCCCAAGATCTCAAAACAAATAAAAAAAATTGTGAATAATTGCTTAACATGCATTCAATACAGGAATACAATAATTGAACCAATGATTCCTTCCTCTGTGCCAGATTACCCCTAGCAGATGATTTATTCATGGCTAACAACAAACATTATCTGGTGGCAGTCGATTATCTCTCAAGATTTATAGAGGTTGCCTTAAACTTAAACTCAGAAACTGCTGTAGATGTCATAACGAAACTGAAACCCATGTTGTCAAGATGGGGAATACCAGAGACCATTAGATCAGATAATGGACCTTGTTTTTCTAGCCACATATTCAAACAATTTGCCCATACATATGGATTCAGTCACATTACAAGCAGTCCTAGGTATCCTAAATCAAATGGGCAGGCGGAATCCGCTATTAAAATAGCCAAGAATATAATTATAAAATGCAAACTTAAGTTATAGAACAGCAAAACTATAAAAGAGAGTGGATTTTCGCCAACAGAACTGATCATGGGAAGAAAACCTAGGAATTCAATTTTAGCTAACAAAGACAGATTTATCCTTAAGTGGAACTTGAAGGAAGTCAGAAGCAACGAAAAAGAAGTTCAAATATTGAATTTTGATAAGCAACATAGAGCAAGATTCAACTTCTACCTTGAAAAAAAAAAACGATAAAGTTTGGAAAGCTGATATGAAAATGTTTGGGAAAGTAATGGATGTTGGACCTGAACCTAGAACATACATTATCGCCGCAGAAAATAACGTCATCAGGCGAAACAGAAGCCAAGCTATAATAAGACTAGAGCAAGGGACAGATACACGACTAGAGATGTCTAATTTGGAACTGATGAATCAAGCTCAGAATCAGAGGGTGACGATTCAGGGGATGATACGAACACAGAATACGGTTTATAAAGCAGTTGACCAGAAAGTGACAACAACTCTAACCACTCCCTCATATCTGAGCCAGGCTCCGAGGAAAAGACCGAAGTCTAAAATTCCACTCACCAGAGATACACCACCAGATCAGGAAGTTAAAGGAGAATATATTGAAGAAATCCAAGGGAGCTGCTAGGGAAATTTCAAAGAAAGTCCAGCCATAACAAAGAAAACTACTATGCAAAATTTAGAAGGTGTTTTCCAGAAAAAAGTTCAAATTAGGGTAGTTCGAGAAAATTTCAAGGAAGTACGAGCAATCTTATCTTGAAGAGATCTCAGGAAGTATGGAGTAGTGTTCAGAATATCCGAGGCAGATTTAAATTTAAATTAAAATTAAAACTATGACAATCGGTTTATACAAATAAGAGCCTTGATGAAAAAATGCTATCTCTAAGCAATAATAAGAGGAAAAAAATCAAAATTCAATTTGTACAAACACCAAAGACAAAATTACAAAATAAAAAAATTAAAAATTAAAAACATGTTTTATTAAACATCAAAAATAATTACAAATCTATTCGCAATCAAAATCAAAAATTACCATTCCTGAAAATTACCTATAATATTGATATATTATTTTGATTTTTTCCTTTTCAAAAGCATTATTAGCCAAGCTAAAGAGGGATAAGTACAATAAGCAAATTTTGTTTCGACGATTTTCGAGTTTCTACTCCTCAAACTTACCGATGTACTTTCTTTCGGGAGCGGTATAGTAAGTAGTGTAACTCGATTTACTCAAAGGAGAACTCGTAAGTACCCTTTGAACCGAGTTAGTACTACTGTAATATGAAGGCGATAGCTCGTAATCGCTATAATGTCTGAAAAAGAAACAAACTCAATCAGATATTTCTTTTGAAATATTGTATAGTAACATTTTTTTAAAGATTTTTTTTTTTTAAATTCAATTATTATATTCTTACCTTACGGTAGGCCAAATGAACCTTTGAGCACGTGGCACCGGATCGTGTACCCTCTTGAGTAACGCAGAGGTCTGAGCCCGAATTAGACTGGTTTCGGTATCGAATATCTGAAAACAGAAAACAATAATTAGGTAAAGTTTCCTAAACAAACTCTCGAATAATGGGGAAACAATTTTTTAATCCTTCCAATTAAAATTTTATCAGCAAAGAGCTGAAAGCAAACCATTAAAAGCGTTAATTTTGTTGTTACTTTTCAAAGGCGCGTAAAAATGTTCAGTCTTTGGCCTGTTAATTACTCGGTGGTGAGAGAACGAGGCCCTTTATGCAGATGTTGTTTTAATTACATTTCGCCTTGTTGGGCGCTCTTTCTTAGGTCTACAAGTGAACAATTTGAAAATTAGGACATAATTTTTTAGGCTGTTTGAAACAAGTACGCCCTTGGTATTAATTCCTTTAAATTTTAGTTAATGATGTTTGGCTTGCACTTTGGCTCATAATGTAACATTAGAGGCGCAAAAGTACTCTAAGCATCCCCGAGACACACTCAATTTTGTGGCTCATTCTCTTTAGAGCAAAACGTAAACATCTTATCACATATTTTTTTTTTTTTTAATTAAAACAAAACTGTATTTTGGTAAAATCGATTGTTAGTTACTTATAGTCAACAACTGTCTATGTCCATATCCATATACTCCTTCTAAATGTATTTATTAGGTTTTTAATCAAGAATTCCTAGGATTAATGTCCTAAAATACAAGTTAACAGGTTTCTGTTTTTATTTTGACCCCATCCAACAACCCTCCTACGATATTAGAAACATTGGAAGTTGAATTTTGAATTACAAGATTCATATTTTGATTATTCCTGGCTCTTGATTGGATAAGTTTTATTTCCCCGAAACTACTCAATCAAATTGAACCAAACTAACCCAATCAAGTACCGGTAATAATCAAAAGTTCAATTTTCAGTTGCAGGTTTTGATTATTCCTGGCTTCTAATCAGATAAGTTGAAACTATTCAATCAAATTAAACCTCAGTACCTAACCCGGTATAGCTATTTATATACCAAGGGGATTATGTAGATTATAATGCCCGAAGGCGAAACTAGCCCGAGGGCCTCTGGGCCAAGGAATATGTTTCCCTGAAGGGCATTATAATCTAAAAATCCCCGTGGTGCATACAATGCTTTATGGTCTACTCAACATAATGTTCTTTCATCAATTTAGTATTACCTAAACAAAATCAGTTAAACTGTGAAGAATATAGTTTTGTATTTTGACATGTACCTGTCCCAACTAACATTTTTCGCAGCTCAAGGTTTTATTATAAGGTAACGGATATTTATAAGGGGTTTATAAGAAACTTTTATTTTTATAATGGTTTTTATAGTTTTATAGGAAAACCATTGGTGTTACAAGTTTTATAGGACGTCCAATAAATACCAAAATACTTTAAGTTTTATAATTTGGTGTCGAAAACGTTTCCGTTACTTTATCTATAAAACCTTTGGTGTTGGGTACTTCTGGTTTTTTCGAAAAGGTTTTATAGCGTTCTTAAAAACCTTATTATAAAACTTTGTTTCTTGGGGTTTTATAGCTTACTCCGTTAAACCCTTATAAATCTCGTAGCAGCTAATAAATATTCTACAGCAATTATTAAACCTGAAGAAAGTTATAAAACTTATAGGCCCATTAACAATTTTTTTATGTAGAACGAGAGGCCGCTATGTTTTTGAGGTTATGGTGTTTATTAATAATTATTTGTTTTCCTAAATATGAAAATATGTCACAAACTAAGAAAGAATGGTAGAAATTAAATACAGTAGTAGCTTTTATCGAAAGTAGAAGAAATAGACCAAAAATTTGGACTTTATCACGACAATATTATATTGGCACAGAACACAAGCATATTACAAACAATTCGATTTAAAAGAATGATCTGTCTTCTCAAATATGAGTCCAATAATTAAAGGCCCTTTTTTTGTACTAAACAGCAACAAATAAGTGAAGTTATGATTGCATGTTTGACATTTGACAATTTGTCATTTGCGCACTAATAGTTTGCAATGGGTTTTCCAGTTACTTTTAGTTTTATACCGGTTACGAAGGCATACAATGGTATTATAAAAGTTTCCAAGGTGTTTAATATTACTTGAAGGCCCATATGAAACTATAGGTTTTTAAAAGGCAAACCTGGCGAACATTATTTGGCGGCCATTTTTATGTTTTTTCGAATTCACATAAATATTTACATAAAGAAGATAGAATATCGCATTTTACGCAATATTACTGAACTTGAAGACATATTTTTTCAAAAATGTGCGGTCAATAAATGTTCTGCATTCTAATTGCAAAAAAAAAAAATCATGAGACATAGTTTTGATTTCCAGGTTTTTGCTAAAAATAAGTTTAAAAGTGCTTAAAATGAGGGCGCTTCAGTTTTAGAGAGGGTAAAACATAAAATTATTCGATAAATTTTTCGTGCCAAATAAAATTAAGTCGTCATAGGAAAATTTCAGAGTTCGATATTTAGTGTATAAAACATTTTCATAATAATAACAAAGCCAGAATCCATTGCTGTCAACTTCAAAGTGAAATCAAAATATTAATGACAAGGACTCGACTCGAAATAAAATATATTTTAATGATGTGGCAAGTGATGAATCGAAAAGGGGGCGTTTATTGTTTGGTGTTTATAAAGACTACTTAGGTTTTATATCGGTAACGAAAAGGTATTCCTTGCCATTATAAAACTCATTTATAGTTTATAAAGGTAACGACAACCTCTCAGTTCCAAATAAATGGGGAGTAAAAGTTTTATATGGGGACCAAAATTTGGTCACCGTTACCTTTATAAGATTCTCCATTTAAGTGCTATAAGCGTTTTATAAGAGTAACGAAAACGTTTCGCGAACAATTAATAGGTTCTCAGGATTTATAAAATAGGTAATCGAAACGTAACCATTACCAATATAAAATAAAAAATGTTAGTTGGGTGTACCTACCTAAAAACGAAATAAATTAGTATACCTATAAACATCTCATAAGGCAAGGCAACAGTGGTTGTGTGGGTTAACGCGCTCGACTACATGGGAAACGTTGATGGTAGACCGGGTTCGAATCCTGGCCAGAGTGAAAATTATTTATTTTCTACTTAACTATTAGAGATCTAAGAAACGAAATACGTTAATATACCTATAACAACTTGAGGGCATTATGCTATAACGCCCGCTTATAATACCATAAGGTATTTTATTTTCTACTTTACTATTATAGATCCATAATACCTAGGAAACGAAATACGTTAACACACCTATAACAACCTGATCCATAACGCCCGCTTTTGCGAGCGTTATGATCTATAACGCCCGCTTATAATACCTTAAGGTGTTTTTGTTGTTGTTGTTCTATTAATTTGCACTTTACCCTAGGCAGCCACTAAATGTCTGACCGAAAATAATTTTCGGTCTAGCCAGGATTCGAACCAGGTCTACCATCAATGTTTCCCATGTAGTCCAGCGCGTTAACCCACAGGACCACCACCGTTGCCTTGCCTTATGAGATGTTTATAGATATATTAATGTATTTCGTTTCTATGTACAGGTCGCAGGTACAGGTACAGGTCACAGGTACAGGTACATGTCAAAATACAAAACAATATTCTGTCACACAAGTTTAACTGATTTTGTTAATAACAAATTGATGAAAAAACATTGTGTTGAGTAGAAAATAAAGCATTGTATGCACCACGGGGATTTCAAGATTATAATGCCCTTCAGGCGAAATATATCCCTCGGGCCATAGGCCCTCGGGCTAGTTTCGCCTTCGGGCATTATAATCTACATAATCCCCTTGGTACATAAATAGCTATTTGTTGTTGTTGTTTTATTAATTTGCATTTTACCCTAGGCAGCCACTAAATGTCCGACCAAAAATAATTTTCGATCTGGCCAGGATTCGAACCCGGTCTACCATCAATGTTTCCCATGTAGTCAAGTACGTTAACCCACACGATCACCGTAGTCTTGCCTTATGAGATGTTTATACGTATATTAATTTATACCGTTTCTAGGTACAGGTACCATCGTCACCAAAAGTATCTGGGACAAAAATAATGCATGATAATCTCCTGGACTAATTCTTCCGTCATTCATTTCAATTCATTTAATTCATAATTTGACAAATATTTGACAATAAAATTCATATAATAGCACTGGCGCCAACTACATGGGGGCATTGGAGCAGGTGCACCCATGAGCAACTTCTCATGGGTGCGGAGCACCCATGGGTGCTCTTGTGGGGAATGCGGAAGTACAAACGTGTTTGCTGGACATTCCGTTTCGTGGGGTAATATCAGTATCATGTAATTTAAATTTAAAACTACCCAGGATGCTCCTCGGGATGCTCCGTAGAGATTTTGGATCTCTTGGATATTTGGGGTGATCACAGGAACGTCGAGTGAGCGGCCGCTTAAGATGACTTCGGCCAGAGAGGATCGGCTCTTGGTGTAGAGGTCCTGCGCCTTTTTGTAGAAGGATTGGCGAGGATCCCGACCAGTGAAAGTTTTGCCGTAGTTTGAGGGCTTTCTACCAGCCGCGGCGCCTAAAGGGCCCGCGATAGGAAAGTGATTTCTCCACCCCTTTTCCGAGATTTGACCCCGAATCGCTCGGAAGTCCAGCTTTTTAAGGCGGAATCGAATTGCTGGTCACTTCCGGTCAGGGTCCTTTGAAGAAGAGTTTCCGAATGACGTTTGCCGTTGTTGTTGGAATTAGGGTTGAGGTGGCCGCGGAAAGTGGCCAGCTGCACCAGAAGGTGATTGAAAATGCTGGTCATGCCTCCCGGCTCTCGGTTCAGAGTTGCCAGTCCCTCCTGACCGACGTTAAATTCGTTGGTGAAGTCAATGACCGGAAGGTGAGGTGGCATTATAATAGTATTATTTTGCACCCTGCACCCATGAGAACCTTCAAAAGTCGGCGCCTCTGTTTAATAGTATAGGAGCTAATATGATGCTGTCCCAGTTACTTTTGGTGACGATGGTACATGTCAAAATACAAAACAATATTCTGTCACACAAGTTCAACTGATTTTGTTTGATACTAAATTGATGA